TAAATTCTCTAAGTTTTCACAAAAAGAAGAGCCGCTGACGAACTTTCTTAACAATCCGGTTAGTGTTTTTGTCCCATTTCAGGTCGTTTGACAGAGTTAAACCGAGGAACTTGCACTCCTCTACAATCTGTACCTGGGAGTTGTCAATAACAACAGGCGTGTGAGAACTGTTGCGACTGAAGTTAAAAACAAGTTTACATGTTTTTGCTGTGTTCAGCTGGAGGTTGTTAACTTTACTCCACTGAAAAACATGTTCAATCTCTGCTCTATAAGAGGATTCATCATTATCACTGATGACACCAATGATGGTGGTGTCGTCAGCGTATTTGACGATCAAGTTTGAGTCAGAGGAAGCCACACAGTCGTGAGTGTACAAGGTAAAGAGCAGAGGACTCAGGATACATCCTTAAGACCCAGTGCTCACAGAAACAACATCAGAAAGACAGTCATTGATTTTTACTCTCTGAGATCTGTCAGTTAAAAAGCTAAAAATCCATTTACACATGGCAACACTCAGACCAAGGGACATTAGTTTTTCAACTAGTTTGCTTGGGACAAGACAATTAAAGCAGAGCTATAGTCAATGAACAGCATTCTCGCCACAGATTTACTACCGTCCAACTGACTGTACACAGAGTTCAAGGCGAAGGAGATCGCATTCTCTACGCTCCTGTTCTGTCTGTAAGCAAACTGGAGCGGGTCAACACTCACAGGGATCTGGCTCCGAATGAAGTCCAATACGAGCCGTTAAAAAAGGGTTCATAAGGACAGACGTGAGGGCCACAGGGCGGTAGTAATTGAGACACGTCACTGGAGACTTCTTAGGAACTGGAATAATGGTGGACTTTTTAAAGCTTACCGGCACCGTACAGCTCCTGAGTGACAAGTTAAAGATGTTCGTTAAAACAGGGGCAAGTTGCTCGGAGCACAGTTTCAGGACGCGGGGAGGAATGCAGTCCGGTCCTGCGGCTTTCCGAGCAGTGGTCCTGGACAAGACCCGCTATAGCAGTGATCCAGGATGTGTGCTCCCCTGGTAGGCTGACTAACATGCTGATAAAAGTTCGGTAATGCAGACTTTAAAGAGCGACTAAACACCAAATCAACTTTTTTTAACTCATAAACTGCATAAGTATGTTTATTGTAGTGCTGTCTACATATCCTGGTTTTTTTGACATTTTAGTTCAAATTAGATAAAATATCACTTTTGAGCCAAAAAAACGCTGTGTGGTGCCCTCTCAACCTTTTTGGTGGTACTACATTTGAATTTGGTTCTGGCCTCTCCATTGACTCTGAAGTTCTCTATGAAATCAGTTGTTTTGTGTGACGTCAGTCTGTCAGAGCCAGTGATGTGAACCCATTCAACTCTCACACAGTTTGGAGTATTCTGGCGCCATCTAGTGGATTAAAATTAAATTACATGAGTCATTCTGAGATTATTGAGTGTGATTAGGTTCAGGTGTGTAGCTTTACAATTATCTTAGTGTGTAATCAAGGGTGGAATGAGACTTTCTGGTCTGTAAACTATTGCTTTAAGCAGCAATGACAACTGTCTTTTTTTTGTGTGTGACAAGTGAGCTGTCAATCACAGCCCAGACCACGCCCAACTCTAAGCCCCCCTTCTTGTCCCTTGGTCCTCCAGGCAACTCCCTTTTTAGAGAAAATTTTCAAATCTTCATGTGGGTGGAGTAAGGCTGGGCACTGGTGTTTAGTCGCTCTTTAAGTTACATTTATTAAAATCACCACCAACTATAATCACAGCATTGCGGTGAGCAGCCTCATGTTTATGCAAAATGTCACTTAAGTCATTTAGTGCAGCTGTACAATCAGCCCGAGGATGAATATATACAGCACATAAGAAAATAACAGAAAATTCTCTGGGAAGATAGAACGGGCGGCATCTTAAAACCAGGCACTCAAGGTTAGCAGAGCATGTTTTGTTTACAATACAACTGTCCATGCACCAGCGCTGGTTAATTAAAAGACACACATCTCCACCTTTAGATTTCCCCGTGCTCTCCTTCTCTCTGTCCGAGCGGAAAATGGCAAATCCTGGCGGCTGAACAGCTGAGTCTGGGATATTCGGATGCAGCCACGTCTCGCTGAGGCAGTACACGGTGCAGTCCCGGGCCTCTCACTGGCACTGGATACGGCTCAGGAGATCATGCGACTTGTTCGGGAGAGACTGAACGTTCGCCAGATAAATGGGCGTCAGTGGGACCCTGGGAGTGCGACTCCGCACGAGAAGCCCGCCTCGCTTTCCCCGGTGTCTGCACTTCCTCCGTCGGCGAGAGACACCCGGCTCCGCACGGCGGTGTACACGGGGGAGGCGCCTGGCCTCATCGCCCTGTTCCCGGTCTCTGTCGCGGTCCGCACGCCGCTATCCCCGAGCTGGGCACTCGTCAAAGCCATCACACCTCAGAGCAGGCAGCACTGACTCACAAGCTAAGTCCCGGATGTCCAGGAGAGTCTTTCGATCGTAGACCACAGCGGCATGTGTTTTGTAAAAGGATAAAAATCACAGTGCACAACAGAGCTTTTGCAGTGGCGCCCTGGCATGGCGCCATCTTCAAGGAAGCAGACTCGGCTTGTACGGGACCTGGTCCAGTGAACGGCTGCATCTTTCTACCTTTGTTTCAAACTTGAACCTCACTAAACTGTATATCGTGATTACACACTTTCTTTGGTGCTGTAGCCTGGGCTAGCCGAGCCATGGTTGATGCTGTCTCCTTAGGTCGGACACAGCCTGTCCATTCAAGGCCAGGCTTAAAACAGTCCTCTTCAGTTTAGCATATGGTAAGGAGGGTAAGGCTAATCTTAGATTGCTAGTCAATCTGTTTTCGGGAGTCAGTTTGCTGGGAGAAGTATGGTAACTTCTTACTTCCACCTTTGTCGAGTACAGCCATATCTCAGACCGCTCCTGCTCCGACCGCTTGCACTATCTTGTTTTTGTCTGTTCCATGAGTTTTCCTGCAGGCAACTTTAATGAGGATAATGAATATCATCACCTGGTCCCTCAACGCAATTGATCTTTTCATCATGCATGGGAGGACCGGGAGACGATCTCTGCCGTGACGGGGCAGCAGCTGCGGGCTACACCTTTGACAGCTGGGGGAAGTATGGTTTTGGAAATCTCCTTATTGGGCTCCGAGGTGTCCAGAATTTACTGCAAAGTTGGAGGGATGGCAGCTCACAACATTGTTGAGAGCATGATGGGATCACAGCGGAGAGTGTTACAGGTCGAACATTTGATTAAAGATCTTGCAATGCGATCTTTGGATACCCTGCTTGTCACCCCCTCCATAATCCCTCCTCACTCCCTCCCTCGTGTTTTCTGGCTCACCCCCGCCACCCCCCGCCCTTTCACAGTGCCCTCTGGCCGCTCACAAGGGCTGTCGGCGTTTAAATCCTTAATAGAAATGTCTGTGTCTTATTCTAGATGCACTGTGTCTATCCAAACTGTCTTTGTAAAATGTATGTTACTGCCCTCTGCTGTTCATTCAACTATTTGCCGCATGGCGCAGTAAAGATGGCGCCGTGGCAAGTGCTCTGGTGTGTGCCGTCTTCTCTGTCTGGTGCACACTGGGGTAGTCTTGCCAAGCCTCGGTGATCCAAGATGGCGCCCTATTCAAATGAATGGCTTGTGCCCAGTAGTGCATGGGACTTCACGGGGACCGGGAGATTAGCAGAACTCGCCTATATTTGGGCATCATCTGGTCCTCCCGGTTCTGCGCAGTGGACGAGCTCCCATGATGCGTTGCGCCAAATGTATGTGGCTCTCATGCACGTGCACAGAGGGGCTAGGCCGCGCTTTGACCAATCAGAGCTAATGATCAGAGCAGCGGTAGAGCGGAGTAAGGGAAAGAAAGGAGCAGAGTTTGTGGCAGTAAAGTGTGGTTTTAAAGAAAACCGAAGGATTATAGAAGAAAAAAGTTCAGGATGACAAGGGACTAAAATCCCCACAAAATCCAACCTTTATGAAAGCTGTAGGTTCTGTCAGCTGAGGTCGAGCTGTTTTAGTTTACATTGAGTTCTATGGGACTTTTTTCTGGGTAGCCCACGTGAATTTAGTCTGCAGTAACACGGGCGCCCCCTGTGCCCATGGGTGGGACAGCCATAAGCTAGTAATGCCCTATCCAGTTATTATAATAGATCCATGAGTCTTGCACAGTTATTCTAATGTGGTTTTACCGCTAATAGCAAATACATTCTTATATCTAGTAACTTGAGCACTATGTGAGGCCTCCTCTCTGACAATGTTTAAAACCAGGTTAAAAACAGTTCTGTTTAGCTGTGCATACAACTGAGGGATTTTATATTTTTATCTTTCTTTTTAATGTTCTGTGATTATTTATGATTTTAATGCTTTCTTGTTTTGTTCAGCACTTTGAATTGCCTTGTGTATGAATTGCGCTATACAAATAAACTTGCCTTGCCTATTCTCTCCCCCCTTTATCTGTCTGCATTATTAGGATTTTGACTTCAGTCTGTTCATTGTTATTCACCCGTTGTCTCCCGCGCGACAACAGGACCCCTGAACCCGGCCCCATCCGTCTGCACCTGCCCGACCGGCCTTGTGGGCTGCACTCCCTGCCCGCCTGAGAGTTGCTTCTGTCCTGCACCGTACCTGTCCTTATCTACAAACGCTGCGTGGCCTTGGTCCTCGTTCTGTGGCTTAGGTCCTGGATCTATAACCCGTCCGTCCGTGTGGAGCGGCTCCCTCTCTCAATGTGGATCTCTCCGAGGTTTTTCAATTTTCTCCCACTGGGTTTTTGAGTTTTTCTTTGCTGGTACATGAGCCAGTAGGTGTTCTACATTTTTAGTGATTGATTGTCTGATCTGTGTTAGCAATTTCAACGGTTTTGTGAAGTCCTTTTGAGATAACTACTGTTGTGATTTAGGGCTGTACAAGAATAGATTAATTTGAATTGAATTGAGATTGGCAATGATTAAAGTGAAAGAAAATGGATGGATGAAACTTGAGGCTGTTATTCCCTAATTACCTATAGATGACGCTGCTGCTCCGAGCAGAACTGGAGCAACTCCAAACACCTGGATGAAGACAGCAGCGATGCAGGAGGAGATCTGAGCTGTTCTGGTTGATGAAGACGACAGCATCCTCTGATGTAAGGCCGGGGTGGCCAAACTCCCTACCGACTGCAAGACAATGTTCTCTGGTCATTTTATTATATCAACTGACCAAAGGAGTCACTGTTTGACTTACCAAGAAGATAAAATCATCGATCATAATCCAGATGTGTGACTTGTTTGGAGCTCCGATCCAGGGAACATGCAGGCTGTTGTTCAGCAGAGTTTGACCAATATCCTGAGAGTGAGGACTGAGCAGCACGAACGGAACACACACCCACTGTAAGAACACAAGAGCCATATAGAGATATATACAATGATTATGAGAATCCAAAAGTTCAAACACAATAAATAGAACAGAAAACGCATTGATATTCGCCAATAAAGGGCAGATGACCAATGTGTTGATAGATGCCCATAAATGTTGAGTGTCCTGGATCATCACCACTGTCCTCTTAGGGCATTTGGCAGGATTTGTAGTGTGTATGTCCATTCCAACTTTGTGGGTGATAAAAAAAAATCACAACAAGATAAGATAAGATAGACTTTATTGATCTCACACAGGAGAACGTTACATGTCACATCTGGCATGGATAGAATCACTCAAGATTTATGCAAAAGAAAGAAGTGTGCAAACAAATATAATATATAGTCTTTTCAGGATCTGTTATCTACAATAAAAAGTGGCAATTAAAGAAACAGTGGCAATAGTATTGCAGGATTCCGTCCTAGTGCAAGTGCCTTGAAGTGATTTATTAAAGTCTGACAGCAGTGGTGACAATATACTTTAACCTTAAGTATATTATCCACACGGGGAATTCTTGCAGTATTTCAGATAGCCTGAGACAAAGCGGCATGACCCGGTTTCAACCAATCAGAGAGTGGCATATCATTGAAATTACGTCTGTGATGAAGTTCTTGTTGTACAATACAATACTATTACAATACAATTTATTCTTGTATAGCCCTAAATCACAACAGAAGTCATCTCAGAGGACTTAACAAAACCATTGAAATCACCAACACAGATCAGAGAATCAACAGTTAAAACACATAAAGAATATAGAACACATGTTGAAAAATGTCCATACATGTTGTAGAATGTTAAAGTGTCCTGGATCATCACCACAGTCCTTCTAGTTGGACACTAACTGTCCAACAGACCTTCCTGCATCGGCAAGGAAAAAGTCATAAGAAAACCCAGTGGGAAAAAGTGAGAAACATCGGGGAGACCCATGATTTGAGAAAGGGATCCGCTCCCACGGACTATAGATCCAGGACCTAAGCTACAGAACGTGGACCAGCGGCCACTGAACGTGGACAGGTCCGGTACAGGACTCCCAGGCGGGTCGGGCAGGGGAGTCCGCAGGCTTACATGGAGGAGGCCAGGTCCAGAGGTTCCGTTTTCATACCATGGAAAAGACAATGGGACAACAGGTGAATAGCAATGAACAGACTACAGTCAAAATCCTAATAATGCTAGACAGATAAAGCAGGAAGGAGGCAAGGATAGTGCTCAAGTTACAATACTTCTCCCAGCAAACTGACTCCCTATGTAGCTTGACTGACTTTCCCTGAGTCTTACCTTCCTAGCCATATGCTAACTAAAGAGGACTGTTTTCGCCTAGCCTAGAACATGTCTTGGAGATAAGAGTGAGCCATTTCTGGGTTTATATGCCAAGAGAAGAATTTTAAACTTTATTCTGTACTCCACAGGAAGCCAGTGGAGTGATTTTAACACCGGAGTTACGTGCTCCCTCCTTTTGGTGCCTGTTAAGATCCTTGCTGTATTTTGAACAAGCTGGAAGCTCTTCAAAGAGGTTTTAGGGCACGCTGCCAGCAAAGTGTAGCCTATGTTATAATCTTGAAATCTCTAATGGGTTAGTTCACAGAAGTCTAAATTCGTTTAGGAGCTTGAGGGTGGTATGAATGACACACAGAGACAATGAAGTTTAAATGCAAAAGGAAAAAATGTATTAAAGGTTTAGATCAAGGATTATCAATAAGGGAAAAGTATGAAGTTGAATTCAAAATGTATATTTACCAAAAAAAAAGAACAAAAATAGCAAAAAGTATTCAAAAAAACTAATAACAATACTCAAAATAAGTCTTTGATTTTAAAGCTCAATGCTTTCAGTCTTTAATCCGTTTTTAGGAAAGAGTTCAGTTTTTAATCCATTGTTTGGTTTTTAATCCGTGCAAATAGTTTTAATCCATTGTTGAATTCGGGGAAATATAGGTCCAAGGATTTCGAAAAGAGCAAAATATCAAAGTCTAACCTACCAGCTCGCCATCAGTTCACTCAGTTCATGGGATAGTCAGTGAAGAGTCAGTCCAGAGAGGATCAGTCCATGATCCAGGGATGAACAAAAAACCTGGCCTGAAAACGAGGTCATAATCAAATTCAGTTTCAGTTACCGGTAACATGTCAAAACATAAAGCAGTACCAAAAAAACGGCACCTAAATCACAACTTTCAAAGTTGTACAGTCAATAGTTCAAAATCAAATAGCTATAGCTCATCAAATTAACAGCTGCGCTAGCATGGGCTTTAACCATGACAATGTGCTGCTAAATCAAAACAAAGTCACTTTAAAACAAAACTCAAACACTAAAGTATAATTTGTGCCTACCGAATTCAAGGCAACATATACATATTAATTATTCAAAAGGTATTTCAATCAAAAATGGTTCTCATTATGAGGTAATAATAACTACAAAACAAAATCACCCGCTTTTACGGTGGAGTTCCGTACGACGGCAAACCATAGCGGCTAACCACACTACATCTGCATTTTAAACGGTCAAAAGCACAGATCCGAACAGCAAGTTGCACAATTATTATAGAAAACACTTTGGCAAAACTCACCGATGAATCAGAATGTCTAGGAGTGGTCTGATTAGGGAAAACAACGTCAGGTTGTAGCCACTTGGTTTGTAGCTTAGCGCCAGCTGCCACAGCACATAGTGAGAGTGAAGGAGGGGGCGGAGCAGACAGTTACCTGGGCAACAGGGACGTTTAACTTCCTGATGTTGTGCTTAGGGCCAATCAGCAGAAGGGCTAATATAATACGTACAATAATGATAAAAATATTGATAAATGATAGGGGAATTACATTGTGGGTGTTACAAAAGCATTACAGCAGTCAAGGCTTGAGGTGACAAAGGCTTGCTGGGTACAATACTGACATTATCGAGAGTGATTATCTGGCCAGCAATGGAGTCCCGCGGGCGCTTTGACCGAGTAGGATCACTTCTGTTTTCTCCGGGTCAAGCAGTGGAAAGTTAAAGGCACACCGTGTAACTCTTGGCCACTAGGGGCGCTAGACCTGCAACTTTCACGTTTAGCGCCCCTAGTGGCCACAAGCAACTCAGCACTGTCGCAAAAGTCAACAAACAGTCAGCCGGTGTCTTTTGAGTGTGTATTCAGACAGCATGCACTGGTGTGTGTGTTCAAACTGTAGAGACATGCCTACAGATATTGAGAGACTCTGCTGTGGTCAGCCTCCAGACCGCTGCATTAGTAATCTACCACACATGGACTTCTATATCCTGGATGAGGGAGTTCTGCGTCTAGCTCGTGCTGCGTGGAATGACATCTTTGCAGTCGATGACATCCAGGAACCAGGTGAAGAGCAGCGCTCATACAGACATGCAGCTTACAGCACGATCCCATTCGCGTTTCCTCTTTTTAGCCTCCTCCGAAGGTTTAAAATTTTTCCTTGCCTCAGCCATGACCAGGAGTCGAGCAGGTGAAAAATGAGTAGCAAAAGCCTTAGCTCCATGAGTATATCGGCGCCTGTAGCCGTAAAGCAAGTCTTTCTTCCAAGTCACGTGACCTGGTGGCAGACGGTCCGTCTGCTCGAAACTTACATGGGCGGTATTTCAAGAGGGCAGCCCCGCTCGGAGCATTGCAAGTGTCAAGCGCTGTATATTGGCCCAAGTATTCATATAAAATAACTCATATGTGTCAACTCTTTAGGTCACAAAGTCCGCGGTGTGCCTTTAAGAGTCATCCACGTTTTAAGGTCCTTTATGCAGGCACTAAGCCTTTTCAACTGATCTGTCTGATTTGGTTTCATCGACAGATAAAGCTTGATCCTTGGGGCACACCAAATTCCTCTGTAGAGTAGGGTGACGAGTTTTGATTAACATTGACAAAGTGATACCAACCGATAAAAAGGATTTAAACCAGCCAAGGAATGTTCCTCTGAGACCAATATCACATTCTAGCCTCTGCAGTAGAATGCTGTGGTCAATTGTGTCAAATGCAGCACTAAGGTCCAGCAGCTAGTAGTAAGTCATTTGAGACTAGAGCCGTTTCAGTGCTATGATGAGCTCTGAATCCTGATTGAAAGACTTCAAACATATTATTTTCCTGCAGGTGGCAGCAAAGCTGTTCAGCTATAAGCTTTTCCAGGATTTTAGATTTGAAAGTAAGGTTCGAGATCGGTTTGTAGTTTGTAAGTATTTCCGGGTCCAGGTTTGTTTTCTTCAGAAGGGGTTTGATTACCGCGGTTTTAAAAGCTTGTGGGACAAAGCCACATTGTATGGATGCGTTTATTATATTTAAGATAGGCTCTATTATCAAGGGAAGTGTGTCTTTAAAGAGCCACGCCGGGATTGCATCTAAAATGTAAGTTGAGGCTTTAGAAGATGTGACCACAGAGATCACTTCCTCTTGGCTCACAGCCAAGAACTTGTTGAGGCACACTGAAGAATACAGGTGGGAAATCAAGTGTAACGCTTCAGTCTGACCAACACTAGGAGTGGTTTCCTCCAGTTTGTCGCGAATGGATGTAATTTTATCATTAAAGAATTTAAGAAAATCAACACTGCTCAGTGAGCTTGGTATTTTAGGCTCGATTGCGCTATGGCAGTTTGTGAGCCTAGCGACGGTGCTAAACAAAAATCTACTGTTGTTTTTATTCGCTTCTATTAAAGTTGAATAAAATTTAGTTTGAGCCCTGCAAAGAGCATTCTTGTAGTTTCGGAGACCTGCTTTCCACTCCCTGAGGGCAGGCTCCGAGT